CCCCAAAACCCCAAAACCCCAAAACCCCTGGGGTTCCCTAACCGGTTGAATAAAATAATTAGTGAATAACTTGGATAATAAGTGAGTAAATTATTTACTTTACTTCCTTGTTTTAAGGTAATCTTCGATTTTTTCCAGCATTTCTTCAGCGCTGTAGTCGAAGTTTAGAGCGGCTTCTTGGCCTCTTATTGCAACTGAGTACAGGTCGTATGCTTTGGCAGCTTCGAGCTCATCTGCGAATGTACCAATGTAGTTCTTGACTTGGTCAACATTGATGAGAGCTTGCCAGTTATCGTTGTTTCTGGAAACTCCAATGTACTGAGATCTTCTTCTGAGTTGCTTCTTGTTGGCTGTCCTTGCTTTCTTTCGAGTCGAAGAAAATCCAGCCACAGATCTATTCAGAATGAGATTCCTGAGTTTGAGTAGACTTTTACGTAAATCTAATTCAGGAGTCTTCCTCTTTCTCTTACCGAATATCCTAGAGAGACCAATGCTTTGTTTCTGTTGACGCTCAAATTTAAGAGAATTTAGACTTATTGAACTTTTGTGATGAGAAGTCTTCTTGTCTGATATGTTTGTGTACGATTTGTCAAGGGAATGCTGGGCACAAGTTATGCTAGGTAATTCAAGAGAAGAGCAAACACAGTAGTCTTGGTTCCTAAAGATTCTCTGTAGTAATGGGCTTATTCAATAGACAGAGTTGAGCTCCTGGATCATATTCGAGTAGTTCCACATTGGCTGATAAACACGATTTGAATTGTTATCAGAATTGGGTAAATTCATTTTTAATATTATGAAGCTCAAATTTTAAGTTTTTAAATAGTTATTCCTGTTCATGTCCAAAGATGTTCTACTTTATTTGGTGAGTGGAAAATATTAAAAGAAGGCTTGCCTATCAATTTAGGTATACTATCCAGATTCTGGCTTGAAATATCCTATCAAATTTGTCTCTGAGCCAAAGGGATCTTTCTAAGCTTGCTTTTTCACTTCAATGTTTTCAATTTGTTACCTGGCATATTGCTTTTATCAAGAAATTTCAAATAATGGAGTTCAAATTTATGATCTGGGAAAGATCAGAAATAATGGAAGGAGAAGTCTATAAATCTGGGATGTCTCTGACTGCATGCTAGGCTCTCATCAGAACTTTGTCATGAAAATCTTGGATTAAAATTGAATAAATTAGCAATTAAGTACTTTTTATTACTTGATTTAAAGTTGGGAGGATAAGAAAATGATAGTTTCATTCCTCTAGTTGATGTTCCAGATTTGGGCTATTGACTTGATACCTGATTGGATTAATCTATTACCAATTCAATTATACACTCTCGATTCGATTTTAAATTCATATAACACCATGACAATGGGACAGTAACCACATTTTGTGTGTGGATGCATCTCATGGCTAAAATTTATTTCTTTGTAAGGAGTTTGCCAAGATAAGCTGATCACTAGTTGTCAACTCTAAATTAGATAACTTACTTTACGAACTTTGATAAAATGTTTTAAACTTGGCAGCATTTACTTTAAGCTTGAATTGAACATAACAAGTCCTATTGTCAAGCTTGGAAAGTATATCTATAATAGAGAATCTGAGTATTCACTCTTTTTCATCATTGCTATAATGAAAACAGCCCTATATCTAGATGCATTTGAAATATTTAAAGGTATGTGATGGTCTTAAAACAATTGATAATCCCAATAAAAATACAGGAATTTAGCTCAAACCCAGCCTCTCAGTTCCAAGCTCAAAAGCAACTTATATCATTGAAGCTTTAGGTTTGATTGTAGGATCACATGCCAAGACCTTTTACATGTTGCTCACAACATTTGTACGTAGTCAAAACTTTCTTGCTCGAGTTATACCTGAATAAATAAATAATCTTTGGCATGTTTACGAATGGAAAGTAATGACGATACTTCCCAAGTTGAAAAATAAGGCTTAATAATTTTATATTTCGAAGTTCTGCTCTTAAAAATGTATCAAACAAGAAGCAAATCTGTCAGAGTTCAATGTTCTGTTTAGTTCTCGGACATCTTCTTATACTAGGACTTCTTGCCATCTATCAACCTTCTTCAATAAAATTAACTATGAAACCGGACTGACTCTTCCTAAATTTAGGTAGGAGACTTTCAAGAGGGGTGAAAGGACAACAATAAAACTTGGAATCATTCTTTACCACTTTTTAATATTTTAACAACCTTGGCTAAGTTGCTAAACATATTCAAGCCTAATCCTATACGGGTTTAGATATCTTTTCAAACAGGCGATGAATTATAAGGGGCAGGTTATGTCTTGAACCTCTCTCCTCATAAACTTCTGTTTTCGAGGAGTGCAAATAAATTTAATCGATTTCTAACAGAGTTTGTTGGCTTAAATTTCTCCATTTTTAAGTTTATTAATTTTTAAAGCACAGACAGAAGAAACACAAATTAAAACATTATGAGCAAAGTATTTGAAATGCGTTGAGAATAGCCCATTGCGTATGTTTGAAGCAAAGCTTATGCTAAAAGTGTTGAGATGTCTACAAAGTGAATAGAACCTGCTCAAGACGAATTTTGGGCCTCTCCTTTACATTTGACAATAGGTACTTTTTATCCGGAAGGGATTGAGTGTGGAAGCTCTAAAACTCAAGTAAGAAGTTAAAGAAATAGGATCTAGTCTTGATAAAGACAACTTGAGGAGAGTCTTAATATCTCAGACGGGCAATAGGCATATCTTCAGCTTCATAAATCTTAAAACTTGTTGGGAAAGATATTCAGATAGAACCCTCAATTTGGTAAATATGTGTGCACGATTTTGCCAAGTAGGCACAGATCCAACCTATCTGACTTAGTATTATCATGCATAAGAGTAAGGAGAGGTCTTAAATATTCAGAATGAACTGATAAGCTGGCTGAAGACTGTAGCTCTTGGCTGAGAAAGATATCCAAAACTTAAGCCAAGTTAGAAATCTCCGAGTTGAATAAATGGAGAACATTACTCTTAGACTTTGGCAGAAACAACAAAGGTACCGGAAAGTTGGAATATACTCCAGCTCCTTTGTTGGAATAATTCAATGATGATTATTCAAATCAGTAGGGAAGGGTAAATATTAATTCAGACATAAATTAGCTGCTAGCGAGCATTTCGAGGACCTCTCTAACTTTAAAACTCAACATTGATATTTGAAATAGGGATCACCAGCTGTCTGACAATTACTAGCCAGATCTAAACATTTGAAGAGTTAAGCTCAGCGACTTCAAAGTAAATGAGCTTTCATTTTGTTTGATAAATAAATAAATTTAATTTCCAAAATACCAGATTCTGGAATTGGTGATCGATGAGACTAGTTTAACAATATTTCCAATGGAGCATACGCAAAAGAAAACTTTAAGAAACATTTACCATCAGAGCTATTTCCAAGCGGGTAATGTCCGTGTCTCAAGCTCAGTCTCATCTTCAAATTCTAATAATTTCTATAAACATTGCAAAAATAGGTGATTCAAATGAAAGTTTGATGTATAGAACCATTTCAGTTACGAATCTAAAGATAGGGGTTTTGGGGTTTTGGGGTTTTGGGG